CAGCCCGGACCCCTTTCTTTGTAGTCAAGAAAGGTGGGAAAAGAGGAGTAGGACTGCGACATCGGTGACCGTAACAAATCTGATAGGCAGAGGTCCGAGGGCAGTTACGCACCCTGGAAAGGAATAAGCATTAGGACCATAGAGGACACTCTAGGACCAACGCTCATTGGAAAATTACCAGGGGTGCTGGCATCCCTATTTTTTTTTCAGATAGGAAATGTTCCCCCCAAGACAAAAAACGCCCCTAAGATGTATTCCGGAGAATTCGGCCCAGTCAGGGTATACGTACCTTTTTCCTTCTCAGACTTGAAACAAATTAAAATAGACCTAGGTAAATTCTCAGATAACCCTGATGGCTGTATTGATGTTTCACGAGGGTCAGGACAATCCTTTGATCTGACATGGAGAGAGATAACGTTACTGCTAGATCAGATACTGACCCCAAATTAGTGTCTGAGAGAAGCGCCGCCATAACTGCACCCCGAGAGTTTGGCGATCTCTGGTATCTCAGTCAGGTCAATGATAGATGACAACAGAGGAAAGAGAACGATTCCCCACAGGCCAGCAGGCAGTTCCCAGTGTAGACCCTCACTGGGACACAGAATCAGAACATGGAGATTGGTGCCGCAGACATTTGCTAACTTGCGTGCTAGAAGGACTAAAAAAAACCAGGAAGAATCCTATGAATTATTCAGTGATGTCCACTATAACACAGGGAAAGGAAGAAAATCCTTCTGCCTTTCCGGAGAGACAAAGGGAGGCATTGAGGAAGCATACCTCTCTGTCACCTGACTCTACTGAAGGTCAACTAATCCTAAAGGATAGGTCTGTCACTCAGTCCGCTGCAGACATTAGAAAAAACTTTCCAAGTCTGCCTTAGGCCTGGAGCAAAACTTAAAAATGCTATTGAACTTGGCAACCTCGGTTATTTTATACTAGAGATCAGGAGGAGCAGGTGGAACGGGACAAACAGGATTAAAAAAAAAAAAACAAAAGAAAAGGCCACCCCACCCCTTTAGTCATGGCCCTCAGGTAAGCAGACTTTGGAGGCTCTGGAAGAGGGAAAGGCTGGGAAAATCAAATGCCTAATAGGGCTTGCTTCCAGTGCCGTCTACAAGGACACTTTCAAAAGATTGTCCGAATAGAAATTAGCTGTCCCCTCGTCCATGCCCCTTATGTCAAGGGAATCACTGGAAGGCCCACTGCCCTGGGGGACGAAGTTCCTCTGAGTCAGAAGCCACTAACCAGATGATCCAGCAGCAGAATTGAGGGAGCCTGGGGCAAGCGCCAGCCCATGCCATCACCCTCACAGAGCCCCGAGTATGCTTGACCATTGAGGGCCAGGAGGTTAACTGTCTCCTGGACACTGAAGGGGCCTTCTCAGTCTTACTGTCCTGTCCTGGACAACTGTCCTCCAGATCTGTCGCTCTCCGAGGGGTCCTAGGACAGGCGGTCACTAGATACTTCTCCCAGCCACTAAGTTGTGACTGGGGAACTTGACTCTTCTCACATGCCTTTCTAATTATGCCTGAAAGCCCCACTCCTTTGTTAGGCACAGACATCCTAGCAAAAGCAGAGGCCACTGTACACTAGAATTAGAAAGAAAAAAGGTAAATATATATACAGACTCTAAGATTGCTTACCTAGTCCTCCACGCCCACGCAGCAATATGGAGAGAAAGGGAATTCCTAACTTCCGAAGGAACACCTATCAAACATCAGGAAGCCATTAGGCCCCCAAATTCTCCTTACCTCTGAATCTACTTCCTCCGATCCCTGCCTAAAGATAATTTTATGGGGAAGACGATTTGCTTGCGTCTTTCCAGGTGACAATCAGGTGCCTATGTGGGTGCCCACCAAACATCTGAAGACCTATCATGAGCCATAGCATCTAGTGGACCCCCCCTGTACAGTGCGAATTGAAGGTTTGAAAAGCCTCGATTTGATTTCTCTATGCCTTCTGTTAATCAGAAAAGGCCTGTTTCTCATTATCGGTGGCCTCCCGGCTACAGCCACAAAAGTTTTTGCTTCTGTTTCAGTAGATTTACTAACGTGGGGGTGAGGGTATGCTTGTGATTTTGCAGGAGATGAACGAACCGTGTGGATGCCCTCAACATGTGTACGGCCATGGAACGGGAGACTGGAGGGACCCATGGATCCCAACCATGGACCAGGTTTCCCCAGTACGAGCCATGAACCAGTTGAATCTGAATACGAAGATGGAACGAGGAGCGACCAGAGTCACGATGCTTAATGGACCAACGCTTTCTGACTCAGCTCCCCTCTACCCTGAGTACGAGAGACCCTAATAGTTAGGCAGGAGTATCATCACCCTTATTCAGCATGAAGACGTTATGGAAGATGGACCTTCATCCTTCTGCAACCCCTAGGATTAAGGGTCCTCTTGTAAGAGGGAAAGGGGTGATATGTTGGAAGCATTCAAACCATAGTGACTCCAGTTTGAATAAAGGCTAAGAGAAGCTGGGTCAAGGGCTGCACAGCCTGCAATCACCTTGCTAATGATAGCTATTAATAATGATAGTAATGATGCCTTCTCTTTTACAAAAAAGAGAAGGGGGGCATGTTGGGAAACAGCTGAGTGTTGGGGGGAAACTGAGGCAGGGCTTGCATAATATCCTCTGGAATGTGTCTAGACTTCCTGGCTCCTTGCTTCTAGCCTTCCTAGGCCCCTATTCCCATTATCTCAAGTAGCAGAACATGTTCCATATAAATGCTAAACTGTCACAGCTGTAGATCATGTGCCTGCCCTTTTGACCTCCACGTTCTCACTACCTGTTTCTTTGTTGGATTACCAGTAAATCCGGTGGGGTCCGAGAGCTCAGGGCCTTCACAACCTCCACGATGGTAATGGCCCCCCTGGTGTCCCACATTTCTCTCTCAAACTTTTTCTCAGTCCTTTGACTCCACTGGACTTTGTCACCCCCATGACCTGGTGTTGGGTCTGATCACCCCAACAGAGCCTGTGCTCACCAATTTTAGTCCTTTCCCGCACCGACCCAGGCCTTCTGGAGCCCAAGGCATGCCTGCCCTGCTGCCGGTGTCTGGACTGAGACCGAGGGCATCCATCCTATCCATCCAGGAAGCCTGAGAGCTCTGAGCAAGGCAACACCCTTGTCTGAACTCAGGTGTCTCTCTCTACCACCTGGGCAGACTGAATGACGCCCTTCTCTATCCTGAGGCCACGCCTCACACCCCATGGTGGACCCAGCTACTCCATATCCTGTCCTGGAACTACCCCTCACCCCCCGACCCCTGCATCAATCGGAGGTAGTTTCTGAACCCATGTTGCTCCAAACGGTTACTCTAAGTGTGGCCTCCAGTTTATCCCTCAGTTCTGGAAGACGGGGATTCCTCTAGAGATAGGCGCGAGCTTACCGCCTGTGCCACCAGTCCCTGCTGTAAGCTCTCAGGCTGCCCGGATGTGACACTTTTCAAGCTCACCCCTGACTTATCTCACACAGACTCCTAGAAGACCCCATACTTTGATCAGGTCAGATCTGCCGCCAACACAGAGCAAATGGGAAGCAAAGAGCCGTTTCCGTGCTTAAGTCTACCTGGGCAGAAATGAAGCTCAACAGACAATTCTCAGGAAGATTCCCAATGCTGGGGGATGTTTCCTAGAGGAACATTTCTGTGGCTGACAAACACGGATGCAGAAAAATGACTCTGGGGAGGCGGCAGAGCACGACGGGGGCACAGCCTCCGCAGCCCACAAGCTGGCCACACCTGCCCTGCCACGCAGGCTGAGTCACCACGGCAGCTGCGCCTCTGTATGGCGTGGAGACTCGGCCACGCCGCAGGGCTGTGGCCCAGCCCACGGACTAACCAGGCCCCAGACAGAGCTCAGCACATGACTTCAGATCTTCCTAGTCTCTTCTGCAGACTGACATGTCTTGTCTTTACTCCCATTGTCACCTACTGTCTAAACTAAGATTCTTCTCCAGGCTGCCGCTACACTCCAACTCCAGCTCTGTCATGTTTTCTGGAGCCCCGCGTCCTCTGTGGCGCTCCACGGAGGCCACGCTGTGCCCCTCCACACCACCCTCTTCTGCCCCTCTGCTCGTCACCCTCCCTGCAGCTGTCCTCCACACGCCCGCCGGGCCCTGTGGACGTCTCTGAAGCCAGTCCCCACACCTCACTGTAATAACTGGGAACACGTCTGTCCCCGTAATCATAAAGTCTGTGAGGACAAGGACGTCTGTTCCATCTTCCCTGAGCACCAAGCACAGTGTCCGCCCCCTCACCAGAACTCTCTTTTCCTGCACCTTCTTTTCCAAGCGTATGCCTGACTTCCAGGGTCCTAAGGCCTGACCCTGGCTCCCTGCCAGCTTTGTCTCCCTCCCCACAACGCTACTCCTGGACTTCAGCCACACCTAACGACCTGAACAACTACAAGGTCCGGCCACCACCAACCTGAGGCACAGAGGCTCCCTTCTGCCCATCTGCCTGCTGCCCCTCAAGGACACCCCCCTTCTCCTCTAAGCTGCCTGTGCAGAAAGTGATGCTCCCATTACCTTGCTGTACGCTCTTTATTAACTGTCCCTACCCTGCACAGACACAGGGCTGCCTTCCCTCCTGCTGGCACCACCACATCATGCTGGCACCTGCCTATCTGCCTCTCCCTGGCAACTGAGGAGACCAGGACAGCCAGTGGGAGACCTGCGGGAAGGAGGAGGGCGCTGGCTAGTTCTCCTCCCTCTCTGCTTCTCCTCCAGCCTGGGGTGAAGGTAGCTTCCTGCTGCCATTACTGTCCGGTGGCCTGACCTCTCCTGACACCTTCACAGCCAATGCCGCCTCACCTCCTCCCCCTGCACTTCCTGGAATGGGCTCTGCTGTCAGTCCCATTCTCTCTCACAATCTGTACTTGGCAGTATTATTTAGGGGAGACTGTATCTTACTCATTTTTCTACAGAAAGACTGTAGAGTGCCTAAATACTGAATTGAGTCACTTAAAATATTATAAATTTGATTCAGAAAATGTTATTTTTCCAAGGATGGGTTTATTTCAAAATTGTAAAGATTTATATATTATTTTTATTACATATAGTAAGCAATTTTTAGCTTAAAATAAAAAGTTTCACATTTAAAGTAAAAAAAAAAAAGTCTTAAAAATGCAGACATTTTTTAAAAGCCAAAAAAGCTGAATTATCTTGCAGCACAGGTCTACCCTTAAATATTCACATTTCAAAGCTGTTGTGAAAAGATTTAAAATTGGCTAAAAATAATTTACGACTGGCAGTGATTAAAAACCTCCTTTGGAAAAGCGTATTAATGACACATAATGAATTTACAGTTACAAGCATTTAGCGGTTTAATCAAGCATGTAGTTTTCACCAGTATACAAAATGAGACTTAGTACAAAACGCTCTTCAACTGTCACTGCAGTTGTTTCTGGAGTGTTTTATGGGAAAAGCAAACGTCACCAAACACGGAGCATCAACATTCGAGTGCTCTTTTCCACGCGTTTCTGATTTTCAACTTAGGAGAGAAGAACAGCATTTGATAACTGCATCCCTGGTGGAAAAAAGAGGGAAAAAAACAGAATATAATATTCCTCAACAGCAAAGTTGCAGAACATGTTCTTGCTAAA